TGCGGTTATGTAGATGGCATGACTGTCATTTGCTTTATGCACACGCCAAGGAAATGGAAATATTCATGATTGCAGTTAACAAGGACAATTATGATTGATTTATGACCGCTGCTCTTCGCTTCTCTGGGCCAAAGCCATTAGTGTCGGCCAGCTTTATGGCAGGTGCGATAAAAGTTATTATCCCAGAAAGCCACACATCCTCTGGCGACAACAAAGTTTGAGTGGCTCGTTAAAAGTGTAAACCATCCCGGCAACTAAGATACGCCGCTAAATTAACATTGTAAGTGTCTTGTATTCCGAGGAAAGCATAACATTTAATTAGATTAGCCATATGAGCGCGTTAAAGGGCGTCGCAGATATCAGAAGGCTAACAAACTCATTTACATTTTGTATCTCGCCGTTGTGGGCGTTAAGTTTATCAACCTTTACGGCCCGAACTTTTGTTATTGCTTATGCAAATGAGCTGGATAGGCTGCAAGTTCGCCTTAATTAAAGCGAAACTCTGGAGAATATGCTTAAATAAATCAAGTTCAACTTACGTGCAGAACTGAACCCGAGTTCATTGAACTTTAACTGCGCAGCAAACTCGGCAAAATAAATATGCATATGTATGTTATACCTCGCAATCGAAGGCTGTGAATAATTAAAATCCAAATTGTTTTCAATTATTTTGTGAAAACTTTAACGTTCCATATGGCTGTGCAGAGCAGCATAATTAAATGCTCCTGGCAGGGGACTAATAAAATATCCGATTGCCATCAGGACAGGTGCAACAAAAAGAGTGCTTTCCAAAAAATAAATTGGCAAAACTGTTTGCCTCTCTCGCTTTGCACACATAATGCAATTTTAATTGCAAACAATGTTCTGCTCGGCTTAAAATTGTATTTATATGCAGGTATATAGAGGGCTGTCCATACACATATTTATAACGATATTCGAGCAGGACTCATAATTTGCGGCAGTCGAATCCTTTTTGGGCCCGCCAGCCATGTCGTTGGTCGCAATCGATGTCGTTTATCTTCTGATTTGTTGCCAAACGAAGCAAAACAAATCACTTGCTTGAACGGACCGATCCAACAACTAAATTCCAAAGGTCCTGCCGGAAGGAGCTGCAGCTTTTTCCCACTTTTGAGGGGATTTTTTCGCAACTCCCTCTCCACTTTTTCGCTCTCCCTGCTCCAGCTGCTGTTGCGAATGAATTGTTGTCATTTTTCAGGCATCTTTGGCAGACTCGTGACGGCCGACGTTTCGCAGGAAGGACAAAGGCGGAAAAAAAGCTGGGAATTTGTGACGCCTCCGCCTTCGTTTCGTGTTAACAATGGGAGCATGCCACGCCCCCAACGCCCTCCCACATACAAAAGGTACAAATGTCGCCGAAATTTATTAGCTTGCATTAACCGACCCAAGGACTCGCCGGAATATACACCATATATTAATATAAGAGCGTGTGCGCAGAGCAATTGTTTTGTCTTTCTGGCTCCGGCTAAAGTGCACATTTGTTGTCTTCTTTATTTCGGCCCCGAAGTTAATCAGGATTTGTGACTCATCCCCGCACGCGCCGATAAATTAATTTGTGCCCCGACTTCCTTGACATTTTATCGAAATTTGCATAAACATAATTTCCGAGAGGCCGTCAGTAAATCTCGTGGCAAAACAAGCAGCACTACAAAACAAACTACAAGTTGGGTAAGCATGCAGCAAGAAAAACTCTATTATTTCACTACATTAACTTGGGATTTATTGTTTATGGCAGCCGAGTGCTGGTGGATAAGGGTGTGCGATTCAATGGACACGAACATCGATGGGCGAAAGTTAAAGTTTCCGAAGAAACGTCGACTGAAAAGTTCGCTAAAACTTCGAGGGAAAAATCCTTAAGCAGGTGAGTCCTTGTCCTTGGCAAGAGCTTTTCCTTTCTCGTTCTCAACTTTTCCCTAATTGAAAGGCTTTGTCTCGGGCCGGCTCGTGTGTGGTGTGTCCTCCTCTGCAGTCACCGCATCATAAGGCTGTCATAATATGCATTTTAAATTACGTATGCACACGCGGCGTATGCGCAATATGACGAACAGCAGCCGCCGCAAATTTCCGCCTTGGCAGTCGTCTGTTTTCCCTCTTTATTTCGTCGAGAGAAATTTCTGCACAAGGCGAACCCACTTGGCCTTTGTTTCTAGCCAAGTTTATGTTATACAATTTTCGTTTCCATTTCCTCCTCTGGCATTTGCTCCTCGTTTTTTTATTTTTATTTTTTTGTTTTTTTTTATCCGCCCAGAGCTCGTAAATCTTTAAGAAGGCGGCGGGAAAAAATGGAAAATTGCCCATTTTGTGTTGGGTCATAAAACGGCAACAGATCAATATAACATTTATTTATATTTTCACCCGAATGGCCATAAAAGTGTTGCGCCATTCAAATGATCGGTGGAGTGGGGCGTGCTCTAATTAATATGTGGGTGAAACGAACAAAATCGAGTGACTAAAAACTGCCTGAAAGACTACCCCGGGGATTTATTACCAGCGAGCGGCAGGAAGTGTCACTTGGCAACTTGGATTGCGACGGGACAACTCCAACCAACTCCCAGAAACCCCGGGAACTCACCAAACAACCTTCCACTTTTAGCTCGTATTTATGTAGCGATAAAATTAAATTTATTTTAACGCCAGCCAAAGGTGTGCGCACATAGTCAAACACTATCGCCAACTTGGCGGCAAGTTTGGTTTTGGTTTGAAAACTATCCCTTCTTGGCCAGGAAATCGCTGGAATCGCAGTCTGAGGCCGGCAAAAGCACCTGCGATAAAACTTTCTGCGCCATTCCCCACTTTTCTTTATGTAAATGTGTGTGTGGCGATGTCTGAGTATTTGTTGCCAGCTTTTTTGGGCATACGCACGAGTCCGGCACTCCGGCAGTCGGAAACAGTAATGCAGACCATAAACCAGGCGGCAAATGCAATGATATTGCCAATGGTCGTGGCCGTGTTTAATCTGCCAGCCGGAGTTAATATGCCTGCCGCAATGCAGTGGCAGACGGGCCAAAATGCGATGGCTCTGGTCTGGCTTTCCCCAATTTTCTTGCCAGTCTGCAGAAATTTGCGCTTAGCCACGAACTGTTACCCAAAATGGATGCAAATTTCGGCACCAGTCGTAAAATCTGATACGAAGAAATTAACGAAAGGAACTAGACTTTCCAACAGGTAAGAAATTAAATTTAAACTCTTAAAAATTAAAGTGAAGCGAAATGCTTTAAATAAACATTTATTTACGTAACAACTAAATGAAACCAATCATTTTTGTAGGTACATAGGTGGTTGATCCAATTAAGAAATAATATTTTTTTTTTGTATTTATAAAACAGTTTTTATTAATGTTGATTAAAAAAATATTAATGTAACGTAATAGCTTTAACCGTTTTTTTAAGGGAAACTTATTATATAACAAGAAAGGAAGCTAGCTTCGGCAAGCCGAAGCTTATATACCCTTGCAGTCATCAAATATGTCGAACAAAACGCATAAAGGCTAGACAACATCGAAGCTAAGACGATTTTTCTATTCATTTCCCATTTTTTTGACTATAGAGATATGGGAGCTATACGATATAGTTGTCCGATTTTGATCAAATTTAACTCGTAATTCAAGAGTCGTAAGAACACTCTATATTCCAAAAATCATACTTTTCTGATGAAAAACAACGATGTTATCAATTTATTTCCATTAATTCTATATATAATTTTCGATCTCTCCTATGGCAGCTATATGATAGAGTTATCCGATTTTGATCAAATTTAATCCGAAATTCAATAACAGTTAGAAAACGCCATCTTGAAGAATTCAAGTCGATCTGATGAAAAACAACAGAGTGAGAATTTTTTATTTCATTCTCTTGTATTGGAGCTATCCGATATAGTCGGCCGATCCGGCTCGTTCCGACTTATATACTGCGTGCAACAACTACACAACTTTTGGGAAAGTTTCAGCTCGATAGCTTTAAAACTGAGAGACTAGTTTGCGCGGAAACGGACAGACGGACAGACGGACAGACGGACAGACGGACAGACGTACATACATATTTCGATTCTGCTCGTGATGCTGATCAAGAATATATATACTTTATGGGGTCTGAGGTGTCTCCTTCACTGCGTTGCAAACTTCTGACTGAAATTATAATACCCTTTTGCTCTGCAAGGGTATAAAAACCAGGTGTTTCTCTATTCTTGCAGAGGGTATTATATTTTTAGTCTGATATCTGAAACATATTTTTTGAAAATCTGGAAAGGGGTTAAATCATTAAAATTAAAAATAAATCGGCCAAAAAAAAAAAAATTTAATGATGCAGTTTGTTATAGAATTAAAATACAAACATTTAGAGGTATGCCACTTCAACATCTGATTGAAATTAGAAAATTTTCGGACTTAGAACTGGTATCATTTTGTCAGTTTTCAGCAAGCCCATTTTTTGGAAATTTGGAAGAGTATTTAAGTTTCGTCCGGCGAAGGTAGCTTCCTTTCTTATTTTTATTCGTTTTACTTCTATGCTTTGTGAAAAATATTTAATTAGAGTCGACAAAAACATGCAATGACTTTGATGTTTCATTATGAAACCGACACCATTGCCTTCTCCTTTGCCATAACACGTAATTAAATTCAGCAATATGCTATTATTCTGCAAGATGACGTATCCATATCGCAATCAACTTAAGCCACGTGTGTAAACTGAGCCCCAATTATTTACCACTTGCCCCGAACTTTGATTAGCTATCGGCAGCACCCACTGTTTATGATTTATGCCAGACGAATTCGTGTTAATTAAAACTCTCGATTTCGGTGTGAGGGAATGAGCATATTGATTTTCGCTGTTCCGATTGATGGCTGCTACTGTGGATGATTTTATGGCCGTGGCCACAGTTATGGTTATGGTTATGGATATGCAGGCAGATAAGCTGATAAAAACATCCGATTTCGATCCCTTATAAATAGGAGTAGATAGTTCGGCCGCCGCGTAAATGGATCGGAAATGTCGGCCAAGAAGAGTGAGCCGCCCCCACAGGACCCGCTTGCCACGCCCCCAAAGACCAGCATTCTCCGTTTGGGCCACAAGAACCACTCGCAGTGGAACGCCCTCGGATCCGCGTCCTTCGTCCTGATCTCCGGCGGAATGAGCTTGGCCTGGGGAGCCGGATTCGCGGTCCACTCCTCGCATCGGGATCAACTCCTGCTCACCGTTCATATGCAACTCGCCTGGTACGCAACTGCCATCTTGGGAGCCCTTTTCGGGGCATTCGTCACTCACCGCCTGCCGCAGCAACCTATCTATGTGAGTAAATCATACTACACTTGAAAATATTTTAACAAAAATGTAGAAATATTTGAAAGAATAAAAACAAGTTTTAAATGAATATATAAAATTTTTAAATAAAGTTTGTTAAATTGTATTTCTTTTTTATGTTATGTATTTAAAGCATATTTATTTTAAATTTCAACTGTTTCCATACAGTAGGAAAACTTTAGTAGCTAAATGTTTTAATTAAGGCATATAAATTATTTATTTATTTAATATAATTATTTATTTTCTTTGCAGATATCAAGCTCTTGCTTGGTGATAGCTGCCGGAATATTATTCCTTTCCTGGCCGGAATGCTCTGGAGCCATTATAGCCGCTCGATATTTGGATGGACTGGCCAACGGTCTGGTTTTTGTTCCCGCCCTAAGTACAGTGGGTGAAATCGGGGTGAACGAGGTCCGTGGGCTGTTGGCAGCCACAGTGGAGCAACTCAGCACGAACACTGGCATCCTGATGCAGTTGATCTATACGGCAGTGTGGCAAGTGGATTGGAACGTGGTAATCGTGGCGGATCAGGTGCACGGGGTGTTATCTATTATATACGGAGTGATTGCCTTGGCTTTATCTCTAACTCTCTGTGTGGAGTCACCTGTTCACCTGCTGATGAGATCCAATGAACAAACAGCAGTGGTTGCATTGAGACACCTCCAAAGACCTTACATGGTGACCAGTAAAACACTTCTGCGGTTGGATGAGCACAAGCTTTATGTGGCCACCAATCGGGAGATGAGTTTGGGATTGAGTCTGCAGAAGGGGTTTCCATCGCTTCTGAAGCTCCTGGCTCTTCGATTGTTGGGGATTATGTGCTTGAACTACATCATCTGCAGTGCACTGTACGAAACTGCCTGCGAGTTGTTGAGCAGCTTTCATGCCTGGCCATATGTGGTTTTCGGAGTGCTGCGGTGGTGCGGCTGCTTCTTTGTGGTGCTGCTGATGGACACCACTGGCCGCAAGAAGCCCACGCTCTTTGGAATTTTCTCCACCGGAGCCTTTGCCCTCGCCTTTGCCAATTTGTTCGGGAGAACGTCGCACATGATCTCCGCCCTGGTGATGCTCTTCAGCCTGCAATTCTTCGCCGGAGTGGGTCAGTGTGCCTCGGCGGCTTACCTCACAGAGGCGTTTCCCCTGGGAGTGAAACCACACCTGGTGGCAGTGGTCTACATCATGGAGCTGATCACCCGGCTGCTCCTCTGCAGCTTTGCCCCTTCGATCACAGTAATTACTGCTTACTTTAGTGTCCTGGGTTCACTTTCTTTGGTTTTGTTTCTTCTGGGAATCTTCTGCCTGCCGGAGACGAGGCTAGTAACTCTGGCAGAGACACAGGTCAAGTTCTCCAAGTGGTTCAACAAGGATTTCTAGCTGTTCGGAAAAAGGGGAATAAACGCTTTGTGTAAAACTAGATGATAAGATTTTATGTTTATTGGGACAATAAGTCGTGAAACTTATCTATCGATAAATCTATGAACAATAAGGGGGAATCACATTTTTCAAAAACTAAACGGCAGGAAATGATTATATAAAATATATTGCGATGTGAAAAGGAATTCTAAGGTCGAAGAACGGTGAGTAAGTGTTACTTCCTTAAAGAGTAGAATGCGACTTTAAGTCGGGGTATACCCCTGACACAATAAAAAAAATTACTGAAAATTCACTTTATTACAAAAAAGGCTGTTACAAAAAAAATATTCAAGTAGAAATATAAATCACCTTCTCATAAAACTTTTTATTGAGAAATAAGACAATTTTAGTCCGATTCCAAAGTGGAGTACCTATAAGTGTTAGTATACTTAACACTTAAGTATAGTTTGATAACGAACAAGAACCAATCATAAACTAGACTAATACCTTTTATAAAAAGACGAAATCGCTTCGAAAATTTTTTTGCACGATCGCTGATTTAGTAGAATTTTAACCATCGCCGGAGAAGGTTATCCCAATGCAAAAAAATGAATACCAAGAACCGCAAAAAACCAACGTGGGATGACCACCATGGCTCTGGTGAAGGAAATAAGTTACGACCCAATAAATGGGATAAAGGTGCCTAAATACTATAATAAATAACAATCTTATCTACCCTGTTCTAACCGGAAAAAAATCCTGAAACGTTTCATTGACGAAGTGGGGAAATCTACAAATAAAAGAATATTATTCACTAGTTTCAGGTGGACTCGGTAACTTTACTACCAAGTACAATCATTTGGCGTTGTTATTTGTTGGAATCATTGGAGCTGCTCTTGACTTCTTCATAAGGAATAAAAAAGCTAAGAAGCAAATACTGGTATTGAAAATTTTTAAAAAATTTAAATTATTTTTGCATAACATTTCAAATTGTATCCCTGCAGAATTTCTTTTCCCTATTGGCTGCTTTTGGAAATCTCCTAATGGTGTTTTTGAAACCTGCCGGCGGTAGAGGAAACCGAAGATTCAAAAAGAAGTCTACAAATTTATAATACCATGAAATGACATTATTTTTAATAAAATTTATTGAACGTTATTAATGTTTTGTTAAAAATTGTATTAAGTTTTGGGGATTGTAACAAACTCACATACTCAACAGCTGATAAATTTAAAATAATATAAAATAAATATATTAATAATACGTATAAAATACTTCTTGATTTTATTAAATTAAAAAATAATTTAAAAGGATCATGAAAATTTCTCCATCAGTACGTTGCTAGGGTGAAGCACTTATAATCTAATTCTAATCTGTGCCATTTATCAGAAAACCAGTTCTGGGAATAGCTTTTATGACTACGCCTAAAACGGATGATTCAGATTTTATTGTGGACTTTGTCGCAAATCCATCGTAGCAACCAAAAATGCCGGGAAAGCACACTTCTCTGGTGAAAACATTGTCATTTGAAGTGGGCTGTAGACCATAGAATATTATTCACAAACATTTCTTATCGGGCACCTGTGTGGTGGTTCAAAGCCACTCACTGTAATCAATGATTTTCAGTGATAAGTGATAAGCATAAACTCCCCACTCGAGTATCAGTTGTGTTGGGCTCGATCTCGATGCCATAAATACATTTGGCCATCCGCCCTGTTAGCCAGTTTCGAATCGACCTCAAGCGGAGGAAGTTGCCTTTCTTTCTGGTGGCAAACGTGAAAGCGATCGGAATGCAGAACGACAAGTTTGCACCACCGCCGTTGGCCATGCAAAACGACAAGTACCCACCGCCAATCGGATTTACCTCTGCACCACCACAGCCAGGATATCCGCCACAGCAAGGATATCCGCCTCAACAAGGATATCCCCAGCATGGATATCCTGCTCACACCACACCGGCTGAAAACTACGGAGGACCTCCACCACCACCACCACAACCACCAGTGGTTCCTCCATCCAGAGTGGATCCTCCCCCAGGCTGCTGGAGCCGAAACCAAAAGAACAAACCACAATCCAACGCCATTGGTGCAGGTGAGTTTGATTCCCTAATCCATCAAGTGATTCAACTGCCAAAGAGTTGACCATGGCTATAATCTTATCTCGTCTGCACAAAATACAAACTATTCTTGGAACCAAAGCAGATAATCAGCTATGACGCAATTTTCTATGAAACTCGTTTTTTATTCTTCGAAAATATTTATTTTATTTTCCTTAATTAGTTTTTTCTTATTTGTGTTAATTTGTTGTTAGTGTGAATTGGTCAACTACTTTAATTTGTTTTAATTGCAGATCTTCAAGGTCTATCTTAAACAGCTACACAGCTTTTAAATGTTATGAAGTGCATATTATGTAGAAATTAATTCTTTATTTTCCCATTTTCAGCTGCTCTGATCTTCATCTCAGGAGGAATGAACATAGCGTGGGCGGTCGGCTTCCGCGGACCCATCTTCTACTCTTCCACCAAACACAACTACGTGGCCTGGTTCATTGGCGCCATCATTGGAGCCTTGATCAGCTGCGGGCTGGCCAACAGGGTGGCCAAGAAGTTCGTCCTGGTGAGCATGAAATAAAAACTAAATATTGAGATCCTTACTAATAGGGGAACTTTTCTTCCGACAGCTCTTCGCATCCGTTTTGGTGGCCATTGGTGGCATTATCATCGCCTGCACCCACAGCAATGGACCTGCCACTGTGGCCGCTTGCTACCTCGATGGCATCGCAAATGGCCTGATTTTCGCTCCATTTGTTGCCTTGGCTGGAGAGGTTTCGGTCGCCTATTCGAGGGGAGTGCTAACCGCCAATTTCGAACAAGTGTGCTTCGGAACCGGCTTTCTGCTGCAGATCCTCTACGTTAGTTCGTGGAGCTATTCCTACTATACGTCCCCGAATTCCTTCACTGCCGAGAATATGAAGGGAGTGCTGAGTGCGATCTATGGATTTTTGGCACTCATTTTTGGCTTTTGGCTGACCATCGAATCGCCCGTTTTATTGCTGGCCAATAACGATGAGCAGGGAGCCATTGATGCACTGCGTCGCCTGCAAAAGCCGGCGGTTTTGAGCGATGAAACCTACGATCAGCTGGCGGAGCACAAGCGATACTTGGCCCACAACAGGGATTTGACGGTGGGTCAGAGTATTTCCCAGGCTATGCCCACTTACATAAGACTCGGCTTCCTGCGAGTCCTCAACGCGATGAGCCTGTCCAGCTTTGTGATCTACACCTTGGCCCTCGCGATCTACGTGGGTCACGGAGCGAGCTACGCCCAGACATACTACATTCTGTTCGCCTTCTGTCGCTGGCTGGGATCCATTATCCCGTCCTTCTGCATGGACTGCTTGGGCCGCAAGAAGCCAACGGCCTTTGGCCTTCTCATCGCCGCCGCCATGTCCTTCGCCGTGGGATCCCAGTACAACTTCTACTCGCTGATGAGCGGAGTAACCGCCCTGCTGTTCGTCTTCGAGTTCTTCGCGGGAATGGCCTTCTCGGCCACCTCGTCCTACCTGTCGGAGGCCTTCCCCTGGAAGGTTAAACAGCCCTTCATTGCGCTAACCTTCATCACCGAAATGTTCGTCTTCCTCATCATCAACGTGTGCGACTACAACTTGTCGCAGGGATACAACTACTTCTACATCATGGGTGGCATGTTTGTGGCTGGCTTTATCCTGGCAGTCACCACTCTGCCGGAAACTAGGCTGATGACCTTGCGAGGTGCGCAGGAGCAGTTCAGCAGGTTCATCAACATGCGATTCAATTAGTTAAAGGGTAACTTTAACTCCATTGTAATATACAGCACTAAATATTTCACCACGAAACGTTATTTGTTTTTAAGGGGGAAGATCTCCAAGGGGAAGCACTTTAATTTAATCAACACATTTACAGAATTTGTGTGGTAAATCCTACATGGCAAGTAAATTTATAAGGGCCTCTTTTCACTCTCTGTTAATCATCAGTTCACATAAGACATTGGCGCCTGAATTCGCTATTGTATTTTATCAGTCATAAATAAATCCACTATCTGAATACTACTGTTTGACAACCTTGCAAGATAAGTACAGAAAGTGGGAGGGCCCTTTAAAACTGTTAAATTTTATTGCTCACTTTTATCAGTTCATACAAAAAAAAAAACCCCGAAAAGTGAACTCCCTTGATTGCAAATATTATCTTCATTCTAGTGGCGATTAGAAACCCGATTACCGAAGCTAATCAATCCGTGGGAGAGCTTTAATAGATCGTATGATAACTTTCATTTACGAATACGATTTGATAAGAAACTCCCACATTATCGAAGCTTATCAACAACGTGCCGATAAGCCAAAAGCCCGCACTCTATTATCAATTCGGTCCCATGCCGAATGGCTAAAACAATTGGCACAGACATTTCGTCAAGCAGTTTCGAATTACCAACTCACGAGGACGGTTGGTTACCCCTCGAAAAAAACAATAAATAGGAAAAACCCAACGAAATGAGAAACGATAAGTTTGCACAACCACCCGGCGGTGGTTTTCCATCGGCACCACCGCAACACGGATATCCACAGCCAGGATTCAATCAAGAGGGGTACCCACAACCTGGATTTAATCAACAAGGATATCCACAGCAGGGTTATCCACAGCAGGGTTATCCACAGCAGGGATACTCCTGGGATCCTCCACCACCACAGCCAGGATTTTCGGGCTATCCACCGCCACCACCACAGCACGGATATCCACCACAGTACTACGGCGCACCACCGGGATACGGAGCTCCAGCAGCACCGCCACCACCTCCCCTTTCCACCCAACAAACCACCACAGTGGTGGTGAACAATGGCTGGTACAGTCGCAATCAGAAGAACAAGCCCCAATCAAATGCAGTTGGCGCAGGTGAGTCGCAATCCAAAGTTTATTGTTCATAGAAATATTTGGAAATTAATATTAATATTACTTAATTTATTTCCTTCTCCTAGCTGGTTTAATTTTTGTTTCCGGTGGCATGAATATTGCGTGGAGCATTGGCTTTCACGGGAAACTCTACTATAAAACCAGCGATCATAATTTTGCAGCCTGGTTTATTGGTGCCATAATAGGAGCGGTGCTCAGCTGTTTTCTCACCAATAAAGTGGCCAAGAAATACGTATTGGTAAGTAAAAACCCACAATAACGAGTGAACAATTTATTGAACCCCCTTTTCCAGATCTTCAGTTCGATTCTGGTCATGATTGGTGGAATTGTGATTGCCAGTACGAGAAACAATGGCGATGCCACGTTGGCGGCTTCCTATTTAGATGGAATTGCCAATGGTTTGGTGTTTGCTCCATTTTTGGCGTTGGCAGGAGAGGTATCCGTTTCCTATATGAGGGGCTTGGTCTCAGCCAGCATCGAGCAGATGTGTTTTGGCCTCGGAATTTTTCTGCAGATCATCTACACACAGTCCTGGAACGCCTCCTCCTACCAATCTTACAATTCCTTTTCGGCGGAGAATATGAAGGGTGTGCTGAGCATTATTTACGGATTGTTTGCACTGATTATTGGCTCACTGCTTTGCATTGAATCTCCTGTGATTATGCTGGCAAACAACGATGAACAGGCTGCCATCGACGCCCTTCGAAGACTCCAAAGACCTTATGTTTTAACCAACGAAACCTACGAACAATTGGCGGAGCACAAGAAGTACTTGGCACAAAATAAGGATCTTTCATTGGCCCAGAGCATCAGACAGGCTCTTCCCACCTTCCTTCGACTGGTTTTTCTTAGAGGTTTGAATGCCATGAGCATTTCTAGTTTCATCTTTCTGAGCATCCAATATTCCTTGAAAATTACTTATGGTAAATATGGATCGGGATACTTGGGTTGGTACATTGGATTTGGAGTTTGTCGTTGGATGGGAAACTTTGTGGCCACCTTCTGCATGGAATCCCTTGGTCGAAAGAAGCCAACTCTCTTGGGTCTCTTGGTCTGCAGTGTTCTGGCCTTTGTGATTGCAGCGCAGTACAACATAAGGACTTATAACACAGGAAATACCATAATGCTGCTGGTCTTCGAACTCTTCGCGGGAATCGCCTTTACTGCAACTTCGCCGTATCTTTCGGAGGGATATCCCTTGGGAGTCAAGCAGCATTTCATCTCCTTCACCTTCATCGCCGAAATGCTGGTCTTCATCATCTTGGTGGTGATCGATTGGGGCCACAGCCAAGGAGCCACTTACTTCTATGTCCTGGGAGGAATGTATTTGTTTGGCTGCATTTTCGGAATTATTTGCCTGCCGGAAACCAGAAGAACCACTTTGCGGGAGGCCCAGGATAAGTTCAGCAAATTCATCTGCACGGGTTTCTAGCCAGTAACATATTGTACTTAGCCTATTAGTCATACCAAAGATAATAAACATTTATAGCTAGACAAGCACTTCGGGCATTTCCCAATCGTATTTCAGGCATTGATAACACTTACGGATTGTCATCAAAACAATCATAGCTAAAGTGTTGGATAATGAAAAACAAAAGTGTGCCTTTCCGGGGAATTATCATTTGAAAGAGAGTTTCAGAAACTATAAGAGAGTGAAAAGGTAAAGGTTGGCCAGCGATGTTTTACCTGCCAAGGTACACAAACAAATCCCGAAAACACATGCTCGGCTCTCAGGCAAACAAATTGTGATAGGGAAAATCGGGCTCTAAGAGATAGCAACAACTGAAATTTCTAAGCATATACTTATCAATCAATACCCGATAAGATTAGTTAACCACCGATAGATAACCCCGACGGAGACCTGTTCAACACGCTCACCTACAAGAGCCGAAAAACGCGAGTGCGTAGTCTTCACCGCGAGTTCGAACACAAAGGGTCCGATGCCGACCGATCGAGTTTCCCCAGACGATGGCTACCACGTAGTGCCCATCCACAGCGAATCGGATGCCCAGGTGCCCCCAGGAACTTAAACGACCAGCAGGTGCTGATCCTCTCGCAGAGAAGTCCTTGCTGCAACAGGGATCTGCGTAATCAACCTCAAGCAAATGCAGTTGGAGCGGGTAAGATATAATATTTGTAGAAGAATACCATAAAAACAAAGAAAAGCACTTGATTATCAAATACTAAGGTCGTTTCCTTTTGATAATGATTATAATATTATTAATCCATAAACCTAATTATTATATACCTACTATTTATCTTCTTTCATATGTAGATAAATACATTATTATGTTGACATATAGGGAAAATAAATCACTTCGCTGATAATCGCTATCTTTCTACGCAGGAGGTGAAAACACGTCATATTATTTTGGATAAGTGCAACTCCCACTCGGAAATGAATCACTCTATGTGACAAGTTAATTTATTAGGTTGAACTTGATATTATCGAACCGGACACCTGTCCATAAATGTCAAGGAAATTTGGCATATGTAGCGAATTTTTATGTTTTTGTTTACTTACTCACATTTCCAAAGATAGATACGTATACTCAAATCAAATATTATAATTATTCAGAAAGTTTTTTACGAGCTAGAGTTTTTTCCCTTAGGAGTTGCATAATTGTTTCTTCTAATTAAACTTAAAATTAAGCAACAGTTTAAAATGCCACTCAAATTGTCATAAGTTATCTTATCTTTTAAGAAGTCCTTTAAAATGTTTCTTGATAACGCCAGTTGTGTATTAAAATTTATTTTTGGTATATATATCTAACAATTATAATATATTTCACAGCTGCCCTGATCTTTCTTTCCGGCGGCATTCACATTGCCTGGAGCATTGGTTTTGACAGTTTGCTGGCCGAACTTGTAGTTACAAATCATGTGCGAATTAGTTGGTTTATAGCGGCCATTATCGGAGCCCTTCTCGGTGGATTTTTCAGTCGGTGGTTTCCTTATAAAGTACTGATGGTAAGAATACAAATAATAAGCAATATAATTTGGGTAGCTCGTTTTTATGACCAAATATTGTAAATGATAGTAAAATTGATATTAATATTATGGTTCTCATAAAAGCGATTCTACTTGTGCCAAAAAAATGCTTTACAATATTGATTTCGTTTTATTTCTTCAGGAATTCTGTTCCCTGCTGACATTCATCGGTGGAATTTTGATGGCAGTGAACAGAATGGATCTCGATGCCCTGCTGGCAGGAAGATATTTAAACGGATTGGCCAATGGATTAGCATTAGCTCCCACTTTGGCGATGGCTGGTGAACTCTCTGTTTTCTACAAGAGAGGAACCACGACATCTGCCACGGAACAGTGGCCCACAACGATTGGAATCTTCGTGCAGATCGTTTGCAGTGTGGTCTGGGATTCGCAGAGTGACTTTACGGTGGAGCAGTTCCAAGGAGTCATCAGTGGAGTCCTGGGAGCCACGGCTCTGCTCCTGGCCTTCCTGCTCTCCATCGATTCCCCAGTGGATTTACTGCAACAGGGAAATGAGCAGGGAGCCATCGAAGCGTTGAGTAGGTTACAAAGACCGAGAGCTGTGACTGCTGAAACCTACGATCAGGTGAGGGATCACCGCACCTACTTGGATCACCATCGATCGATGGGATGGCGCCACGCCCTCCCCGCCCTCGTCCGCCTCTCGGTGCTGAGGATCTTCTACGGACTCAGCTTCAGTGTAATGGTGGTCTTCACGATCTTCTACGGACTCAGCTTCAGTGTAATGGTGGTCTTCACCTTGACTTGGACGAGTACCGAGGTTTATGGCGGCAGTTCGGGTCCCTATGTGCTCTTTGGACTCCTGCGATTGGTTGGCAGCTTTTCGAGTGCCTTCGCCCTGGATTCCCTGGGCAGGAAGATTCCCCTGCTCCTGGGACTCGTGATCTCCGGCGGACTCTCCTTTGGACTGGCCACCAGGTTTGCGGGAAGCGAGTTCCTGAAATTCTCGGACAGCAGAATGGCTTTGTGGCTGCTGCTCATCTACCAACTCTTCGCTGGGATCGCCTTTGCCCCCAGTTCAACGTATCTCTCGGAAGCCTTTCCTCATAGGATCAAGCGGCAGTGTATAGCCTTCTGTTATGCCCTGGAAATGATCGCCCAGCTGCTCATCTGCCAAGTGGATCTCAGTGCAATTGGCAGTGACACCAGCTACATAGCATTGTACTTCTTTACCCTGGGAGGCCTTCTCCTGGCTGGATTCCTCTTCAGCATTTGGTACATGCCGGAAACGAAGGACACCACGCTCCTTCAAGCGCAGTTCAAGTTCCAGGAATTCGTCATCCCGCCAGCCTGAAAGTAGGCCACTCAAAAGCTCAAGACTAGCCAACACGTAGATATATAATAGCTAAGAAATAAATCTGAAATCTGTATAAGCCAAGCGAATGTGCTTTCTGTTGTCTTATCGGTGCTAAAGTGACTGGCCAGATTTGGTCATATTTTCTGCATTCGTTTGTGCCAATCACCGTGAAGAGCTTATGGTTATTAAACTAAAGGGGAACACCGCGGTGTAAAGTTGAAAGATAAGTCGAAAGGCGTTAAAAATGTTTATTTTCAAACCGCAATTAAGTCGGTTCCCACACGCGATAAGCTTTCGGCATCATTATTGTTTGGCGTTATATAGATTAGAAAGTGTTTTATAACTTGAACTAGTTCTAGAGACTTTGTCAGAAATTGAATGGCAAATATTTGTTAATGGGAACTTTAGTAACTTAGTAATACAATGACTACAATATTTTAGTATAAATAATTATGCAAAACATTTAATATTATATATATTTTTAATTATTAAATGTATATTGGTTAAAGTTAAAAATGAATGCATTTCTCTTCGTATGATTTATTAAACCACGAACTAGTTTAGATTATCCGAACTATAGTTGGCATCACTAGCTATTAAATTTTCACTTAAAATTTTATGTCCACTGTGGCCCATAAAGGTTCCCCTATTTAAACACATGTGACATTTTACCTTCGTATATTCAAATTTAATTAATTTATTTATATCCACTAATCAGTTGATAAGGGGACTGGCAAAAATTTTTCTGCTAGCCCTATCTTATCAGCTCTGCTGGCCAATTCGCGGCGCTCGCTCAATAACCGCTCGATGCGCCTCCAATTATCAAAAGGCGTCTGAACAGTCGGCCAACTTGATTCGTCGCGTTAACGCGTTGGCGGTCCGGCAAGTGCGAAGTTTACGGTCAAATATCGATGACACAAACTGCAAAAATAATGACAAACTCAAGTGGTTCCAGTGAAAAGGTGTCAAGTAAACAATAAACAAATCGACTGGACAAACAATTAAAAGCGGAAACGTCGCAACCAAAGTTAAGATTCCAGCTTTTTATTGCGCAGGGCTTAAGTGAAAATAAAGTAATAATGCCAATGCTGCCAACAATTGAGGAGGAGGCCAAGTTATCCTGGCTTCGCCTCATGTGGAAATACCGCCTGCAGTTTCAATCCATGGCATCGGGTAAAAATCAAAGAAAAGTTAAGGAAAATCAAAAGATATTAATTTAGATTTGTGTTTAATAGCCTCGATTGTGTTTGTGGGCTGTGGAATGCGTTTGGCCTGGTCAATTTTTGATACACCCGCCGGAAAGTTTCTTAATAACACCAATACACACAATCTGATGATGAGCTGGTTTATTGGAGCTGCTTTGGGTGCCCTTTTGGCAGCCCTTTTTGTCCAAAGAGTCACCAAAAACGTGGCATATGTAAGTAGTTTTATTATATACACATTTATTATATGACTAGTTTTTCTATCGTGTGCTCCCCCGCAAAACTCCAACTTGATTTGCGCTCTTTCGTGCCACCAATAATTGATTCTGCAACCATTAGCACTTAGCCATTAGGCTTATCAATCCAATAAACTGATAAAGTGATCGCGTTCAACCTGCATTGGCCATTAAGTGGCGATATGGAGTGTGGCCGCTAAGCGAGGGCTGATCGATCGCTTGTTGGGATTTCCCAAGTGGAAAATATGTTACACAAAAAAGTAATTACTTGAAACAGATAGGATGATAATGAAAAGAGCTTTAAAGGTTATAAGTATGACTTTGCAAAAATACATTAAAAATAGTTTCTTAATGGCACAGAAAGTTATTCTTAGAAATGAAAACAAACAAAACTATAATTTATATTTTCGCATTTACCTAATTAATCATAGTTTTATAAAAAATTTGGTGGCTTGGAAAAACCTTATTGATGGTATGATTTTATACCAACCTGAAAAAAATTTTTTTTCATATTAAAGTTCCAATTAAAATTAAAGTTAAGCTCATGAACTCCCATTTTCTAATACCTTTATATTTTATATACCATTTATTTTTATATTATTAAAATATACCATTTATTTTTACAGACCTCCAGTGGCCTTCTGATGATCATAGCCGGCGTTTTAAACATAGTTCTTCCCCAACATTTTTTGGCCGCCTGTTACAGTAGTGTGAGTGTTGGGGCAGCCTATGGGTTGACCCAAATCCAGGCTCTGGTCACAGGATCCGAGGTGGCGCACAAATCCATTCGAGGAATGCTCCTCTGTTGCGAGAAGATTTTCCTGTGGCTGGGAGTCTGCGTACAAGTATTCTACACGCGAGTTTGGCGGAACTTGAGACCGTTTGATTTCCAGGGAAATGAAATGCACATTGATCAGTTGCATGGTATAGCATTGGCTGGATTGGGATTAGGAGCTGTTATCCTGGCACTAGCTCATCGCTTGGAATCTCCTTTACTGCTTTTGCATCAGGAAAGGGAAATGGCAGTGGGTGAAACACTGAAAGCTCTTCATGGACAATCCACCACGGAATTGGTGAGACTGAGAGAAGACTGCAGACAATTGCATAACGCCAGAGATTGGGAGAGATTTGTGGAGGAACCCGAAGAATCTGTGGCTGTTTGGCGAATCTGGGCTCGACGTATCCTGCCATTTTTGAAGGTCCTGCTGCTGCGATGCTTTGCCACGTTGGCCGTATCCTTGAGCTTCAATCGAGCCTTTGTGGTGGTGAGTTGGCATGGCCTAGAATGCGATATGAGTTGCATGTACTGGCTGGCATTCGCAGGACTTGCAGGCAGTGTCATTGGAGCCTTCATTGTGGATTGGCAGGGTCGCAGGAAACTCTGCTCCATTTCCCTTTTCCTGGCGGGAATTGTGATTGCGATGGTCGGCGGAGTTTTCGAGCATCTGGAATCCGTGAGCAAAAGCTTCTACGATATAAATCTCCTGGCCATTTCGCTTCTGATGCTCCTATTTGAGGTGATAGTGGCGGGGGGCGTGGCAATACCCGCCTTAATCTACACAGCCGAGGCTTTCAGTATCGCCCACAAAGCCAGATGTTTAGCAGGGATCCTGATAATGGAGCAATTGCTTCATTTGGGCTTACTTTTGGCCACCTTCGAGCACTACATCACCGTTTCGGTGTTCTTCTTCACGATCGGTGGTCTTAGCTTTATAGTCGGTTTGGGCGTATTTATGATCATGCCAGAAACCAGGCAACTGACACTCTACGAGTGCCTGCTTAAGTTCAAGAAGGTTCCTTAAGGCCTCGCCGTATCTTTAAGTGCTAAGTATCTGTTATCTGTTATCTGTGCCTATCTGTTATCTATTTTTACGCTCCCTACTTTACGCTCTATATATTGTATTCATACGAACGATTGCCCGTGTGCATATCATTATCTATCATATACGTTCTGCAAACGATTTCTGCCGTTCTGGTAACCTCATAAAATTAGCTTTTGTCTATATCTTTATCCAGGAATTAGCTTGTGAGATTGAAGTGCAGATAATGATTTAATATTGCTTAAATGTCTTAGTTATATAAGAACCTATTTAATAATATTCTTCCAAAATATTGATAGTTAGGTACTTACAACTTATTTATTTTACGCAAAAATAGCTTTAAGGACCACGAATTTCTGCATTTGAATAAAATACATACGAAAAGCAAAAAAACATTATTTGTGGAGTTAAGAAATATAATATTGGATATAATATTTTTTGTTAGAATATTTGTAAAATTAATAGTAAACATAAATGAATCAAGTCAAACGTTTATTTGCTTAATAAATATAAATAATGTGTCTCTTATTCAAACGAAATACAAATAAGGTAAAATAATATTTTTAAACATTTCGTAAATATTTTGTTGCATTGTGACAAACTAAGACCAAAACCCTTAACATAAAATGTTTAATGTAAAATGTATAAATTAAATGTACTTTTCTTTAGCCCCAAGCTTTTCTTCACTTTCACCATGGCTTCAATGGGGTTGAATGAAAGGCTAAAGCTTTCACCATACTTAAACCTTTTCCACCAGCTTTTCTACCATAATTTCTGGTGAACTGTTACCACTATTTGCCTTCCAGAACTTTTTCCTGGATGCCAGGCCCAAAATAACCATTTGCGGTCTATGTAAACAAAGCGTTTTTTACGATTATGCTTCCCTCGCCGGCTAGTGAAAGCTCCTCGGCTCATTCATAAAGGATCCTACAACTCCTGGCACTTTTGCGAATTTAATGCGGATTTTAGAGCGGGAGAAGGGACAAACAGAAGAGCGAAATCAAGTTGATTAATATGGCGTGTGATGAATATGCATGGCCACCAAAAAGCCAAAAAGAAACTCGAAAAGGGAAAATGCCAACCGGCTCCCCAGCTGGCTATCTAATGATGTGGAAAATTCGCTCGGCTCTTTTTCGCAGACCCCAGATACTTTTACTGCTTATCGATATGCAATTTTTGTGTTCCACATTCTGCTTATCCAGACAAAAGCACTTCGGGATGCCATTTCCCAGAAGTGGTTGCTTTGCCATCCCGTTTGGCATATTATGTTTGGAGCTGTATTTTGTCTACGTTCGTTTGATCCTGTAGATGTGGATGTGAATGCGGCCAGGATGCTGCGGTTGCTTTGTTACTCAATTGCAGCTGGCCGCAATTAGCAATTCTGGCCAACACTTGCCGCCCATTCGATAGCATGCGGTCAAAACCCGAACTCGAGGCTCTGGCCCAATTGAATCGGGTTTAAAGTTGTTTAATATTTAATTGAGTTAATTAGTGGCAGCACAATTTCTTTGTTTATGCAGCAACAACAGAAAAAGTCAAAGCGAAAAACAAACTGCAATGCAGGAATAAAAAAATATCTGTTCCAATTAAATGCCAAATGAAATAAAATTAAGTCGCGTTTAAAAATTTAATAAAATGCTGGGTAGCTTATTTCTATCTGTGCATAACCTATTTCCATTATCCTCTCGGTTGTTAAAATTCCTGGAGTTGCTGGTGTCGGAAAACTCAAAGATTTATGCTCACAAAATAGTATGGCGTTGCTGCTCAAAGAGCGCCTTACTATTTACTGCTTAGCTGGACTTTGCAGAACATAAACCTTTTCCATTTGAAATAACTCCCTTATCCCTTAAAGTTTCCCAGGCAGAAAGTGTAGCACACATTTCAGGGCAAACAGAATAAACTATGGCAGCTCAAAGTGGAAAACTGCAAACAAACAAAAAGTCATGGGAAAATGGTTGAAAAAGCATCCAGAGCAAAGGAAAACATTGGCACAATTTTCGACAGAAGTGGAGCTCTCATATGAGCCCGGCCAATTGAAGGTCTCAATGGACGGGGACTTAATGCATTGCTTTTTCCCTTGTTTCAATTAACTGGAATTGAAAACGACAATCGTGAACATTAACAGCAATGGGACTCCCCGGCGAGCAACAGGAACAACAATCGCAATGCAAATCGCTTTGTTGCAGCGGAGAAAACACACTGACGGCCAGAAGTCAAGGAAAAGTATTTTCCACACATTTCCACATTCCCGCAAGCCAAGGAAAACAGGTTGGGAAAGTCGAGCTGCTTGCCGGCATCGTAAATGAAAAAGCAAACAAACGTAAAATTTTATTTGTGCGCAATTTTCTATAAATTTTCATGATTGCCATTGGGATATTGGCGACATTTGCGTTTGGCATTTTGCTGCGTCCTTCACTCACACACACACACACATATAGATTTTATATATCCTGGGAGCAGAAGAAGCTGCTGCTGCTGCCATAACTTCGGCTGCAGTTGGAATTATGTTTTGCCGATGCCTCACACGAAATTGAAAAGTACGTATACTACAATACATGTATCACAAGTTTCCAATCAACAGCAAATGAAGTTTCCATAATGGCAAATAAATTATGTCCTGCGCTCCGCAGGAGGAGGAGGAAACGGAAACGGAAACCCGGTAAGCAGCCATTGCTGGCATCAAATTAATGTCTCAGCATGCCGCAAAATGGCCGACGTGGCGAAATTTATGACGCCGAAAGACAACTCTAAAGTGGCCAAGTGGCTCGACTGCGGTGTGACAATAAAACGGAGTCAAATGGCCATAAAAACGAGGGCCGCCGCCTTCGCCGGACCCAAATCCAAAACCACAAAGGGAATGGCCCATACATAAGCATATAAAAGCGAAATAATAAATAAGACCGTAAACTTGTCAAGGGAAAGGGTTCTCGGTTTTTCCCGATCATAAACAGACAAAGTGCCGACCATTTGCCCAGTAAACCAACTCCAATCAATTGGCCGCAGGCAAAACCGAAAACTTTAAGCTGCAGTTCGGAAATCGCCGAGTTCCCGGTGAGATTGGAAAATTTCAAAACTTGACAAATTAATTGGAAATTAAAACGAGAGCAACTGACACGCATCTTCTGCTTCTGCTTCGGTGTGTCTGGCCTGTCAGGAAAGTAAATTGACACGTTTTCATTTCATTTGTAGCTGGCCGGCTGGAGTTTCGGCCTTTGAGTTCCTCGTTGGCAGTTGCCGAAAATAAGCGCCGCCCTGCTAAACTTTTCCCTAACAAGCCTATAAAGTTTTCCTCGCCTTTCCGGCGATGCGAACTTTTCCTTAAATTGCTGCCCCGCACAAGGCAACCTCGGAAAAGTTGATCAAAAATTAAAGGCAGTCCTTGCAGATTGACTCTTGCCGCACACAAAGCGCATTAAATTTAATTAGCTCACATAAATCCCGCTTCGAGGATTCCAACTCGGTTTCGGCACTGGGAATCCCACTCGGGTTGACATTTTAAATGCAAACGGAGGGAAAGTTGCAAGTTGCAGGGTTGGCCAGATGAAGTCACTGGCTTTTTCTCCTTTTTTCTCCGGCTTTCATGACTTATGCAACTTTTGACGACAGGTGCACGCGTCTGCAACTCTGTTTGTATGTGTGTGTGTGTGTGTATTTCTGTATGTCTGTGTGTCTCCGTGTTAAATCAACTGTCGCTTCCTCCCGGCAAAGTTTGTCCTGCGAGGCGAGGACATCCAGGCGCAGAGCCAGTGGGATCCAAGTTATGATAGCTGCATGCGTTTCAACAATTTACTTAACAGCTAACTGCGCCGAAAGTGTCACGGGAGAAAATAAATCGGGGGAGCGTGTGAAAGTGCCGCAAATGGAGCAAGAAGTTGCGTTTGCTTGCTTTCGAAATCTCCCTCAAACATTTTGACTCCCTAAAATAGAGCATGTAAATATTTGCGATTTTATTTAAATATAGTTGTACACATTTATCCCTTCATTTTGTTGTACTCCAAAAAAAGAATCCTCACTTCGCAGGCAAAAACTTTTTCTGTCTGAAAAATACCTGCGTATAATTGGAATCGCGCTTTAAGCTGAAGTTTTACGCGGTTCAGTTGCGTGGCCAAAAAAATTCGAAGCGAGTGGCGGCGTCAGCAATTTTTTCCCCCAATTTAATATTGAACTTTAAGCTTGTCTGGCGTTTGGCGGCGACTGTTGCTAATTAAATTCAGCTTTTTCCCAGATTATTAACGCAACGGATGAGGAGGAGTGGCGGTTGCCCCTTTTGTTGTTTGTTGAAGAGTGTCATTTGTGCCATGCAATTAACGTCATTAAAAATCAGTGAGCGCTAATTAAGTGCACCATATATTTATGCATTTTACATAAGTGAATTTTGCATTATTTATGGCTGATTTTCGATCATTTTTGTTTACCAGCTATGCTCGCGGTCGAATGGATTCATTCAATCAGCCTTTCGAAGTCGTTCGCTCTGTCAATCGAATGGCAGTGGGAATGGGAATGGGAATACACCAAACAATTCACTTCCGCTTTGCTCGGCAAAGTTCCGTTGCCAAGCCCTCTGCCACGCCCCCAAGCCAAGCCCCCAGAACCCTTCCCCCGCGAATCGAGGTTAAGGAAGTCCTGATAATGTCTGCCACCCGTCCATTGACAACCGCTGCAAACGCAACGTGCAACCTGCAACATGGCTCAGAACAGCTTTCTGAATTGGTACACTGGGGAAAAATATGTGTGACAAATAAAATTTTTATAAAATATTTTCTGAGAACGTGAACAACTCTTGATTATATTAATACAGCCTTTATATAGAAGAAACACGCGTAATGTTAACATAATCACATAATTATATTTTTTTGAACATTACAAAAGATTTCGCCAAACTTGCAAAAGATTTAATCAAATAGTCTAATATAGCATTCTAAAAATAAAGGTAAAACGGAATATTTTTTAAAAATATGTTTTCTTTTCTCAATAAAAATACTTTTTCTTTTATATTATTATTATTATTTTGTGTTATTTATTATATCAAGTGAGAAGTTTTGAGCATAGGTGGTACTCATTTAAACCTCATTATTTGGTTTTAAAGTCCCTACAAATTTCAAAGTGTAGCGGCAACAGCTCCGTGTCTTCTCACCGTTATTTGACTTAACTGACAGCGGAAACTTCGTTTCCAGTGGGGTTTTCCACCTGCGCGCTTTTCCGTTTCCCCTTTCCCCTCCCCCTTCCCCACCATTTTCACCATTCAGTGTATTTCTGTGCTGTTTACAAAATAAGCGAAAGCTGTGCCAATAAGCCTCAACGTCGCCTGCACTTAATTTATTTGCAACAAAAGGGTGAAGAAACTTTCACGCAAGTGCAACTTTGCTTTACGTGTTTTATTTTTCTCTCTGGCAACCTCTGGCCTTCTCACTTATTTTGTCCCATTTGTCTCCTTTATAGTTGTTGTTTTTTGTCATGCCTGCATCCACGTCAGTTGGCTTGTTTTTAGCTGAGGAAAAACAGGTATACTCGTATGTTTCCTGGCTTACAACGCGAATTTTGGCGACCGCAAACACGAGAACAGGATGTGAGCTGAACCGAAGTCAAGGGGTGGAAGTCGCGGAAGAGGAAAGCAGTCCTCGGCAGAATCTGACAGATTTTTACGCGTTATAGCTGCAAAATGAAGGCA